GGTATTGATAAGGTGTTGATTAGCGAAAGTGACGTGCTAGCAACCAGCAGGATCGCCGGCGCCTGCACTGAATCCGCAAGGACGGGAAAAATTGTAACGTTGAAATGGTAAATGAAGAAATTAGACATAAGACGTTACATTATAAAAACAAAAAAAAAACACGAAAAGCATTTAACACAAATAGTTATAATAAAATCGTTTCGAATTAATTGGGCTTTTGTTTTCTGGGATATCACTTTTTCTAGTTGAGGAACGAAATATAAAAAAATGTGCGTGTATGTGTGGCATAATGAAAACCAAATAAAATAGAACCGAAAGGAATTGAGGAAGTTTGACCTCGATTCAATAAAGTCAGCTGCTTGTTGAGTTACATTCCGCACTTGTAGAATGGCACGAAGGGTACGGCTTCAACTAGGAATGCATCACTTTCGCAGCGAATCATGACACTAAAAAGGGTTATCACAAGAAAACAAACTCCTCGTCGATTAAATAGAACATATGTTTATAGCATACAACATATTAAAACAATATTCCGCCAGTCGTCGAGCTGTAAATGCAAATGTTCCTCCTCTTCATCTGTAAAATTTTCACGTTTCCTGACCAAAAACTTCAACAAAAGATGTGGGAGTACCTACTAATCATGAAAAAAAAACAAACCTCGTGGAAATGCAGACAAAACCCCTCAATGCTCCTCTCGAACTTTGTTGTCTTTTTTGCTACTTTCAACAATGTGTTGGCTTGAAAACGAACTGTTACGAACTACGCCAGTAAACAAAACATCATGTTGTACTACATTTCCGCTCATTTTTTCCCTGCCATTTAAACAGGTCAACATCAAACACGATGGTACATATTAAATATGTTCGAGAAGGCGAAGGAACTGTGCCAAAGTATTACGTAAAAATGCGACAAAGAAAGAAACAGTTATTGGATCAAGAAGAGGTTACCAAATAATAACGATGAAAGTATGAAGTAGATGTGTACCTAATGGTAATTATAAACAATATTACATAAAAAATAGATGTGGCATATATTTATTATACACATGGCGTGGCATACCTTAGACAACTTATTAAATCTTTGGCTTCCGGAACGCCTGAGAGTTCCACCTTTTATGTTTACTTCGTCCAGTACAAACTCTTGACCATCGTGACCTGACCGGCGACTCAGTTCACTCAGCTCAGCCACCGGCTGAACCTAAAACGACAAAAAAAAAACAAACAAAGATATTATAACTACCACGTACCTAGCTAAAGTATAGAAAACTCCAAAATTTTCTCGTCTATTCATACCGCATAATTGTTTATCCTTGCAATGTACTACAAATGGGCAGACATTCGCCATTTTATGAATACATAAAAAGTGCAATTGTTCCCGTAAGCAAATTTTACCTTGCAATTAGAACATGATAATTCGCGTAATTGGCGCCAACGTTAAATAAAATGTTACATACGTTACACTTATTACTTTCACTACTGTACATACGCATGTGTAGTACATTGCAATTTTAATTTTAATAGCTACCAATAATAATTATTACTAATTGATTTAAAAGCAAGACATTTATCGTAATAAAATGCTGCTACTTCTCTGTTTTTAAGAATACATTTAGGTCGGACAGTATGCTATTTAATATTTTGTACCATCATCCAAGTACGAATCAAAATCTAATGTCAATGAACTGTAATAAATGTCATTAATTAGAATGCATGTTCATGCATAAAACAATGTGTGAAACAACGAGTTTTACGCGACTGGGGTAACAAAGCAGTTACGAACCTAATTTAAAATTAGCCTTTTCCGCTAGTCCAAAGTAAAATGTATAAAAATTAAACAGATGTGCACAGTGAATTAAAACGAAGGTCTGACAAATAATAGTGGACTGAAAGATTATACTAGTATTATTATTATTGCGAAGAAAGCAGCAACATTTGTTTGGCATTTTCTCTTTAGAAAATTGTATAACAGCAAACCAATTAACTTTATTTATTAGGAGAGTCTCGTGATCATTACATAAATTGGCTACCCAAAAATTTCTATGTAGGTACACTAATACACGCTGCGCACGAATTTGAAATGGGGTAGAAAAATACTGTCCAATTTTTAGAGACGGATAGAGGACCTCCAATCGTTTTCGTTGAGCTAGAGGAGCAACAAAATTGATAAAAGTAGCTCCTTTTTGCGACAAATTATAGCCCTTACATTTTTTTTTTTCAATTTCGATATACGCTTGTGTAGTATCAGCACGATATCAGGCTTTCCAGTAATCGGCTTGAGCGATTCATTTCTGGATTTGGTAATAAATTAACGACGAATCATAGTGCACTTTAAAAATACTGCTATTATAACTCAATATCAACATCCGTACTCGCACACGGCATAAACAGTATCATTGATACTTGATAATAATAGTGTAATAAAAACATTATAAATAAGTCACGAGACCAATAAAAATGAGTATCCCAGTATCTCACCTTGACTGTGACGAAATCCTTGGATCTTTTGATCATGTCGATAATTTCCTCGCGACTTTTGTCTTCGACATGGATCCCGTTAACTTCAAGAAGTTTATCGCCCGGCAAAAGACCGGTCTCGTTGTTGTGCTGCACTATGGTGCCAGGTTCGGCAAACACGACCGCACGCATTATCACTTCACCACTACAACTATTACCGACAACGTTTCGTTCCAAGATCATCGCACGTCTTAATGAAAAACCGAAATCGTTTCGTGGAGCTTTTTGGCGCTGTATCGTAAGGACACGCGGATTTGGTAACTTTAACGGTACAATGGGAGGCAGCGGAAGATTGACGTCCTCCAGGTTACCACTACGAGTCCACCTGTGGAAACCCTGACTTTCGCCTATAGGACTTAGTGAAAATGGAGGTGTAGCGAAAGAGGAATTGGTAGTGTCTGTCAAGGAATCGGCGCTGGGCGACGTGGACACCACCGTCAAAAGGTTTGTCATAGGGGTAGGGGTAGGGGCAGTGGCTGAAATCGTTGTGTCGTTGTTTCGGCACAAATATCTACTACTACTACTACCGTTGTATGTCTCAACTCCATTTGTTATATTTTCGTAGCTTATTACTTCATTTTGTAACGTGTTTTTTACCAATGTACTGTGTTGGTTAACAACGTTAGTGCCGTTTGTGGAGGAAGAGTCGTGGGTCACGCTAACACGAGGTCCCTTCAAGATACCCCGTTTTGGAGGCTTCGGTGGTACCGGGGGTAAAACTTTACGATGCTGTTGCTGTTGTTGGTGGTGGTGGTAGCTTGTGTTAGGATTATTTAGCGAGTTTAGGCTCGTTTCCGAACTATCCGAGAAGGTATAGGCACCGCCGTGAACGGATGGCGTTGTGGCCGGACCGTAAGAATCGTCCCTTTCTAAACACGCCAGAAAATCTGCCGTGTAATCGGCAGTGATGCCCAACGGTAGTTTGTCTTTGTCTTTTCGACGGCCTCTTATTTTAAGGGACCTCCTTACCTGAAAATTTCAGTGTGATCTATTGTACGACAAAAAAAAAAGAAAAAAGAGAAATAACCCCAACACAATCAGCAGAAAAGCAGTAGCTAACCTACGTGCGTTTGTTGTTAAGTACTGTTTAGTTACCACTTCGTATAGAAATTTTTTCATAACGAAAAGCTCCATATTTCCTACTTCATCCTTTCAACAGGCGTTCCTATTTTACCAAAAGAACAAGCAGGCACATTTCACCTTCTCACGTATCGCTCACTAATTCACACAAATCCTAACGTTATGAAAGATAAAAGAACAAATGCGAGTTTAAAATGAAAAAAAAAGGCAAATGAATGCTAACAAGATTACAATTAACTGCAACCCTTGAAATAAAAAGCGTAATCAATAGAGAGAAGGACCCTATTAAAATAGAAAAACGTTTTATTGAGTTATACGGGGTCTTAAAAAAAATAATAAATGAGACGTACCTCGTCGAGTCTTAGCATTTCGTCTGCAGACATGCTAGATCTGTCTTTCTTTTGCTTCTCCTTGCGCTCTTTTTTATCCCTTTTACGCCTATCTTTGTCCTCTTTATCTAACATTGACCCAGTACCCGCCTTTTTGATGAAATTAAACATACTGTTCCGCTGTTTCTGAAACGAAACTGTACTGTTACATATGTATTATGTACATATTCCAGCCCAGAATTACATCGTTTCGCCTTGTCATTACTTTGGAATAATGGCAAATGTTTATTTTCACTAACAAAAGAAAAACCGTATTGTATTCATCTAGCTAATATTAATAACAATAAGTTTGAAAACATTGCCCATTATTCCAAAAGCTTAACATACCTAAAAACCCAATGGTAATAAGGGAGATTTTAAGAAAGTGGTGATAATAATTAACTGCAAGTTTGTCACTAACGACACTCGATGACGTACAATTGTATTGTTTTGCATAAATAAGGCCGGTACGATTAACGAAGCGCGGTTTTATTTTATTTTGCTTGTTTTTCGAACTTCATCACAAAATACTTATCAACTGGGCCAAATGACGTGATTCTGGACTCGCCCCTACACCTCGTACATAAAAATTAAATTGAGAAATTTCCCGTTGCTTTTGCAACAAACTGTACAAAGAAATATTCGTTATAATTGCTCGAGTTGTTGCTATCTTTATTATTGAACCATATCAGAGAAGAAAGCAATTAGATCGAGTTAACAGAAACCGAAATTTGTCATTAAACGTCTTTAAGACTTTCTAACCATTAATACAGTGAAATAGTTAACATGCCGATTAGCCAATGAATATTATAGCAAGTGAAAATTGAAAGAGATCTTTTGCTTCACGGAGAAATTGATGACGATAGGCAAAAAGGTACGTACTCCATTTCGTTCGGAAATAATTACAAAATAATGTTGTTCTAAGTGCCTGTTACAGATACCACTGACAATTGTAATAACAAAACAATTAGCTTATGTATGTGTGTTACGGGTAAGTACATTGCACATGTAAAACCATACCAATACTACGTACAATCGCTGTGAAATGTATAGAGGTCAAATAACGGCTTATATTTCCTTCAACTGTTTTAAAAGAATTTGCGAGCTGTAAAACCTTAGATAGTAAAGAGCTCAACAAATGCATCCGCTAATGCAACAAACTCCAAAATTATAGACAATATAAATATCAATTTTCAATTCGTCGAAACAATTGCCGAAAACGATTTCGATTATTTTTGGTTGTTTCAAATACATAAGCAAGTATCCAATTTTGCTTTTAGCATAGTGAATTAATATTTTAACGTAAATTACTTTTGATAGCTGCATTATTATCTTCTAAAAACATTAATCTTTAGTCATTTA